CCGTTTGCTACCGTTGTTTTTGGATTCAGCTTTAATGTAACTCATTAGCTTATTAGATTAGCCATCATTCAAATTCTTACTAAGTAAATTATGTCTTGCCTTGTGTCTGTCTGTCTATATACCTTTTGACTCAGCTGCTGAGTATTTGGGATTTCCAAAAATGCGTCATATTACGTAATTTTTTAAAGGTTTGCCCAATCTCACCACGCTGACTATGGGTCGGTCTATGGGATTTGGGTTCGCGACATATTAATATAAAGCGCAACCAATTGGATCATACGACGTACAAATGACATTGCAACTTAGAAAAAACAAAAAGGCTAGTATGTTCACCCTTATGGGCTATGTGGTGAAATTAAGGTGTATTCCATGTTGAAATAATGCAGTATTTTATTTTAAATGCAAATAATGTTTTTGATAAGGACAGCTGTACGATAAGCAATATTACTTTATCTCACGCAATCTTCACGAGCATATAGTAAAACAATGAAAGAATTGTGATTGCAACAATGTAGGTACTATATGAAAATAATCGACAACTTGAGAATACTCAAGGCTGTAAAATATAATAAAAATAAAATTTTAAATTTGATTGTGCTCTGTCTTTGTTCATGCTCGCATGAAGCTCGAGTTACAATTTCTCACGATTATTTATTTATTAAGTATCAAGTCATACTGGATGTAGGTAATAGCTATTAGTTTTTTTGTTATTTCATAAACATACATCAATAGTTGTAAATATAATATTTTTTTATAAATAATAATAAAATATGATTAAATCGCACTTCCAAGCTTTGACGCCAAGTTTGCCAAACAATAAAAATTATGTTGGGATACCATTTAAGTTGCCCCACGATGTATTTCTCTCGTTCTTTACAATTAAGAATATCTTTTTATTTTTTTCTGTGGTGGCGTGAGTCTGACTGTCTTGTTGGTCTAATGGACGTAGATACAACTGCTGATCACAAGGATGCTGGGTTCGAACCCCGGGCCGAAAATGAGTTATTGGATGTTTTAGTCAAGAAATTCTTAGTAGCAACCCAAATTCATGAAGTTGGTCGTGTTTAACGTATGTGTCTATACCGTGTGCCACGTAAAGCCGTTGGTCCTGCGCCTGATCTCTCCGTGGTCGTATTGGATTGCCGTCTGATCAGACTATAAGAGTGAAAGAATAGAAAGTGCAACTCTGTCTGTGTACAATAACCTTGACTTGAGCAGAGGACTAGCCTCTTTGACTGAATTACGTCTGGATCACATTAAGAAATTCAAGGCGAACGCCCCACTTCGACCTAACACGACTTCAGAACTTATTTAGTACGCTTTTATTTGCATTTTAATATTTTATAAAGGGGTCATTTATCTGTTTAAGTGGTTTAGTTATAGCGTCTAAAAGTATTTGAAGTCATAAACGATTGTTGAAGGTTGATAAACATAATCTCGCCTTAATTCTTAAAAACCTAAGTAGCTATAAAAATGAAATAACTTCTAATTTTTAATCGATATCGCTTCGTATAATTATAATCGGTAGTCCTTGCTCCTTAAAAATAAAGTATTTTACGATAATTTGACGAAATGAAATGAAAATTAGGCAAATTGTTCCATAATTGCCTCAAAGAGCGTAGAGCGGTGCAATTTATAAGTAGAGGTACAAACAGCGTGCAAGGTAAAACTCAAGTATTTGTGAACACGCAAGCCTCGCCCAGTAGCCTGCTCTAATCAATACATATAGTTTTTCTACCTACCTGAAAACATTTCATGGATACAACGTTAAATCTATTAAATATAACAAAAGACATAAACTTAAACTTACTTATTACAAAAATATTTTAATCTTTTTGGACATTTGTAAATTTGGATATGATATTATATAATATTATAATAAGATTTCGTCTTTCTTTAAAAACCATAACTTATAATATATTATAAGTTATGGTTTTTGAAAGACAAGAAAGTAAAACGATATGTGAAATGGAGATGGTCGAACAAGTAGATGAGTTTGTATATTTGGGATGTGTATTTAGCAGGGATGGTCGATATAATAAGGATAAAGAACGACGAGTGAATGCAGAAATAGAATAAATGGGACTGTGAAGCATCAAAATGTGTTCAAAAAGGGACGTATGGCAATTCACAATGCTGTGTTAGTCCCTACTTTAATGTATGGTAGTGAAAGTTGGGTGTGGCAGAAGAAGCACGAGAATAGAATAAATGCTGTAGAAATGCGGGCATTAAGAAGTGTCTTAAAGCTGAATCTGAATTAAAGGGTAAGAAATTGTGTGATAAGAGAAAAGTGTGGCTTGCAAGATGATGGTGTGACCAGAATTAAGGCCCTTTTTACTGGAAATGAGGCATTCCATCATAGTCCTCACGGCTGACAACGCATCTACATTTTGATTTGTAATAGAGGATAGATGTAGATGTCTATGGGCCACAGCAACCACTTACCATCAGGTGGACTGTGTGCTCGTTTGTCACCCTTATCCAGTAAAAAAAAGAAAGGAATGCTTCGATGGTTTGGACATGTACAAAGAATGAATGAGGAAAGAGTGATAAAGCAAATTTATGTTCCAGAAGTGAACGGCAGATTCGGGAAGGGACGCCCTAGGCGAATTTTTAGCCATTGATAATGGGCCAAATTAAGAGCACCCTTAACCGACGAGCATATATACGTAGGTATATGGATGAGGAAGAGGCGAGAGAGGTGTGCCAGGATCGTGCCAAATGGAAGGTTGTAGTCTCTGCATACCCCTCTGGGGGACAGACGTGAGTGTTTATGTATGTTATGTATGTATTATAATTGTTGTGGCTTCGGAACAGTCCCGATATAATATCCTTTTCCTAAGTATTTCCTATCCTCCCGCCTCCCCCATATACGCACTACTCAAAATGGTGCGCCACCTATCGTCAAGAAAAAGAAGAAGCAAGATGGCCACGCACGCATAAAACGTGTTCGTTACCGCTCGTTTATAAATAGTCAATAAATAAGTTATAAGACTATCGTGCAATTGCTCGTGTCCATATACATTCGAAGTGCAGTTTGGTGTCTGTGTATACACGAGAACTTCAGCCTAAATATTTAGACTTCACCATAACCACGAGGAGTGCTCCAGTCTTGTGAGTATCCTTGCCTTATCTACCCAGTTCTAAAGCTATTTTCATTTACTTCCTGATCGGGATCATCGGGTTAGCCAGCCCTTGGTCTGGTTGTTCTCTGGTTCCCAAAACCACCCACGAAACACATTGCGAAACATTCAAGCCGTACCATAATTTCTGGTCCATACGATCCGGGTACTTATAGATTTCTATTTTTATACAGTCTGCTCCTTATTAATATAATATCAAGTTCAATTTCTAAGGAAAACTTTGATATTTAATCTATTTTTCTTATAATTGAATGTAACTAATTTATTTCAATTATAATCTTGCTAGACTTGAATGCTCGTGAAGTGTTTCGTATTGCTCAGACTTTGCAGACTTATCTTATTTGGTTGCGTTATAATTGCTAAGTTTATTTCGAATGTGCATTGATCTTACGCTTTGAAAATTATTATAATTTGAGGGTATTTTATAATTATTGTTGGAAAAAATTACTAAATCAGTTTATGGAAATGATTGATTTGGTCTTGGAATAATAGCACTTAGGTATAAATACTGGTATATCTTTGAATGTTAGGCCGTTTGTTAATTGTTATCTAATTCAAACAGTTAAAAAGCGTTAACATTAAATTCAGTATTTGAGTGTTAATTTAGTTTTGACAAACTTAAATATTGTTTTAAATATCTGTCGTTAATAATTATACATAACATTCATATTTAATTTTCGCTGTTATTTTATAATCATGTCGCAAGAAGAAATGAAACTAAACTTTACACGTCACAGCGAGAGTATGTTTTTCGTTCTATTCAAACTCTTTTCGATTTATCCACTTAAATACGGGAAGACTCCAGTTCATCTAAAGTTAGCCAATTTAAATCTAGATTTCTTAAAATTGAGAACATTCGTGATGAATATGTGTTGCTTACGGAAAAAATAAATTCGTTAAAACTGACACTATTTCCTAAAGAAAAAATAGATATGCAAGCGTTGTCTGCATTTGATGATATGTACTATGAAGTCCTAAGTTTTGCCGCGGAGATGTCCCTACCGGAGCGCAAAAGAAGCAGCAGCCCAACGTCCGCTGACGTTAACTACACCTTTACGCCCGATGCGGAAAAGATACAAGCTAGACTGCCGCAAATTGAGCTTCTGAAGTTCGACGGAAAAATTGAGAATTGGCAAACATTATACGACACTTTCGTAACCTTAATTCATAATAATAAATCAATCGCGAATATTACTAAATTTCATCTCATTTCTTGTTTATCGGGATCCGCCTTAGGGATCGCAAAGAAGGTAAAATTAACTTCCAATAATTATGAGCTTGTATTCAATGAACTTATTAAGCGTTATCAAAATAAGCGCATTTTAGCCGTGGCGTATTTAGATCAAATTAATAACTATCCTTATTTAAAAGCTCCTAATTTCAATGATTTACAAACATATACTAATATTCTTTGTGAGTCAGTCAATGCCCTTAAGGCCTTAGAGCTAGATGACTTAGGCGATTTTATTTTATTTAACGCAGCGTTTCGCGCACTGGACTCAGATACGCGCCACCGCTTCGAATCTGAAAATGTGAAACTATGTAAAAGTTTTAGAAATAAATGCTAATGTTGACATTAGGGCGCGATCTTCTCAATTTTTAGGCGGTAAACAGATCAAGAATGTTTCACCGCGGGCACCGAACCTGAAACGTTCCGTGCTCACTACTCAGTCTAAGCCTACTAGTTCGAAGCAGCTGGCTTCACTAGAGTGCTATTATTGTGGCGCAGCGCACAGTATCTATAAGTGCCCCACGTTTCAATCGTTGGACACCAGTGCTAGAATATATATTCTCAAACAAAATAATTTATGCATTAACTGTTTACGAAAACATTCTCTTGATAAATGCGTCTCAAAAATGAGATGTTTTATATGTAGTGGTAATCATCACATTCTGGTACATATCGACAACCAAGTTCGATCACCGACCGCGGTGACCACCGGTTCGAGTAGCGCCCACACTAACACGAGTGCGTTCGTGGGAGAGGCTCGTGGCCCGTGCGTGGTGCTGCTCGGGACGTGTATGGTGCGTATGCAGGACTCTAGTGGCACGTTCCATCTAGTTAGAGCCCTGATCGATAGCGGCGCTCAGGACTGCTTCATCACTATGAAATGCACAAAGAGACTTGGTTTTCAATTGCGTGGATGCACCACAACTGTGGCTGGACTTGGACAACAGTCTGTGTGTCAAGTCAAGGGAGTGACTCAATGCTCTATACGCCCGTGTGATTCGAATGACCCGCTATTTGATATTAATCCTATAGTCATCGATAGCATTACTTCTAAAACGCCAACCACTGATATTCCTCTAGCGGTTCGAGATTGTTATAAACACTTAGTATTAGCGGACCGTGACTTTGACAAACCGTCTGATGTTGATTTATTGCTAGGTGCTGAATTATTTCATCACATCTATGACGGCCGTGTCATTCACCCAGAGCCCGGCTATCCTGCTGCTTTACATAGCGTCTTTGGTTGGGTTCTCTCAGGACCCACCAATGTGGACAGTCCGGTAAAATCGGTTGGCACTTCGTTAATTACTTCAACCAATTTATTGGAGAAGATGATGAAACGATTTTGGGAAGTCGAGGAACCGCCTCATCAACATATACCTGCTCCAGAAGATGAGAAGGTCGGACGCCTGTATTCCACTCAAACTTATAGGGAATCAGACGGTCGATATATAGTCCCTATCTTATTGAAGCAGTCATCTGTCTATATGGGAGACTCATATAATAGTTCTTTGTAGCAGTTTATAAATCTTGAGAAAAAACTTTGCCGACAACCAGAACTTAAATCACTCTATAACGATTTTATGCGTGATTATGAGCAGCTTAACCATATGCAACCAGTGGGAAAGGATACTACACCTGGTAGATATTTCATTCCTCACCATTGTGTGATTCGTTCAGAAAGCATAACGACCAAACTTCGTGTTGTATTCAATGCGAGTCACAAGACGACAAATGGACTATCTTTAAATGATATTGTTTACATTGGACCGAAGTTACAGGCTGATTTGGTTGACATTATTACTGGATTTCGGGTCCATAATATAGTGTTTACATGTGACATATCTAAGATATACAGGCAAATCTTGATAAGGCCTGAGGATCGAGTGTGGCAACACGTATAATGGCGTGAATCCCCTTCCTTACCTGTTCAAAAATTTGAACTTCGTACGGTCACATACGGAGTCAAAAGCTCACCGTACTTAGCGATACGAACATTACATTAGTTAGCTACAGATCACGGTGATCAGTTTCCTCATGCTGCTGAAGCTCTTCGGCATCATATTTATATGGACGATATTACTACAGGTGCTTCCTCAGTCGAAGCAGCCTCTCAGCTTGAAGAAGATTTAATCAATCTCCTTAATTATGCTCAGCTAGATTTGCGTAACTGGAGTAGTAACAGCCCTTTATTTCTTCGATCGTTACCCATGGAACATTGTCAGTGTCCGAAGACATTTTCTGATGATAGTTTAATAACGCTTAAGGTTTTGGGAGTTCAATGGATCCTGCGGAAGACTATTTCGCTTACTCCGTCTCTCCTGTGAATGTGGAGTTTACGAAACGTTCAATCCTGTCCCACGTAGCTCGTATTTATGATGCGTTGGGTTGGCTTTCACCTTTTATTCTTTTAGCCAAACTACTTCTTCCAAACTAATGGCATATTGGAGTGTCTTGGGATGAAATGATTCCCGCCAATCTGTGTGACGATTGGGTTTCATTTGTGTCTGACATGTCTTAATTAAAATCGCAGAACCCTCTACCTAAATACTGTTCGCAAGTTCTGGATTTTAAGAATTAGAAATCTTATTCGTTCTATTTTAACAAAGTGTGTGACTTGCTGTCGGGTTAAACCTGTACCCTATCAGCCATCTATGGGCAACCTGCCACCTTGTAGATCTCAACAAGGTTACTGTTTTCAACAGGTAGGGATCGACTTTGGCGGTCCTTTTCTTATAAAAGAAAACAGACGACGTAACGCACGGGTCAGTAAGGCTTACATATACTTGTTCATTTGTTTATCTGTAAAAGCAGTTCATTTAGAGCTCGTATCTTAACTGTCTATAAAAGCGTTTCTAGCCGCCCTAGACAGATTCGTGTCTCGACGTGGAATATGTCAACATATTGTGACAGATTGTGGCACTAACTTTGTAGGCGCTAAACGATATCTTGAGGAAATGGTTAAATTATTGATAGATAAAAAACAGGATATTTCTGATCAATTAACGTCTCGTGGAATCTCGTGGAAACTAAATCCACCTTCAGCACCTCACTTTGGAGGCATTTTTGAAAGTGGTAAAAAATCTACTAAATATTATCTCAAGAGGGTCATAGGCTCACAAGTCCTGACGTTTGAAGAACTAACTACAGTTTTAACTAAAGTTGAAGCGATGCTGAACTCAAGACCGATTTGTCAGTTATCGTCTGATCCTGGCGAAATTGATGTTCTTACGGCCGGTCATTTTATTATAGGACGTCCTTTAGTCGCTCTACCAGAACCGTCTGTTGAAGATATGAATCCTACAACACGCTGGCAGTTACTTCAAAAGCTTTCTCAAAGTTTTTGGCGTATTTGGCAAAATGATTACGTACATACGCTCCAACAAAAAGTTAAGTGGTTTAAGGATGATCACAAACATCCTAATATTGGTCAACTCGTTTCAATCATTGAACCTAATCTACCACCTAACGAATGGCGAGTAGGTTGAATAGTCCAAATCCACCCCGGAAAGGACAATATTATCCGGGTTGTGACCTTAAGGTGGCACAAGTCGCGGGCTCGAACTCACTGGTGGGCGCGGCCAAAAAGCACGCTGTCTCACCTGGCATCGTGCCCGACAGAGATAGTATCACTGATGAGCATATCGACACTAGTATTCACGCATGTCTTGTTCGTACGGTGTTCCGAACCGTTAGAATAAAAACGAAGTTACACGAACACGATGCAACATCTATACTAATATAATAAAGCAGAAGAGGGTTTTTGTTTGTTTAAACGTGCTAATCTCTGGAACTACCAGTCCGATTTGAAAAATCTTTTTTTGGATATTATAGCCAGATTCATGTTGAATAGTATAGGCTATACAGCATTAGGCTATATATCTCAGCTAGCCTATATTTGAGGAAGTCAGAAGAAAAAGCGCTGTTATGGTTCGGGATACGTAAATACAATGTTCTAGAAAAATATAGATCTTTACTCCGTCTAAAAAAAGTCCGCGATACCATATGTCTATTTCTTATATATAAGCCACAATTAGGCATTTTGTGACAAAAAAAAATGAAAATTTAATTATTAGGCACCTTACGAACCAAAGTTACTTCATTATCAAGACAATTTTATGAAGATAAACTTCGTTCTTTATACCATGTTTATATAGTACATAGTTTAAGAGATAATGTAAAATTAAAATAATTCAATACCTACTTGGCTTGACGCGCAAACAACGCATAACCCCTAGCCCGGTGCGAACTGAGAAGCCAGTATTGAAAGCTTCTATGAGCGAGGTTAGGTTAGCCGTTAGTTCAATCGTTATCTATACATATATACACAAATAAATAAAATTGAAGTGTCTGTTTGTAATGTCAAAATAACAGCTTTTTACTAATTGCGTATGAAACTGTATACGGTACTTATAACATTAACACAATTTTTAACATTTTTGTATGTCTGTCAGTCTGTTTGTTGCGGTTAATTTCCAAAACGGCTGGACCGACTTGGGCGGGACTTTCACTAGTAGATAGCTCATGTTATAAGAAGTAACTTAGCCTGCTTACATTTTAGAAAAATTATTAGGTGTCTTTGCAACAATATTAACGCCCTAAACTAAACGCGGACGAAGTCGCGGGGTACAGCTAGTAGCTAAAATAAATTCAAAATTAATTGAGTACTTTTATCTATCTCCCGGGTGAGCGTAGCAATGATTAGTTACATCTTTATTTCTGAACTCTTTCATTTCACGTTGCTATGGTATTTTGAAAGTTTAAATTTAATTAATTAATAAGTATAAGAGGTTGATAGCAAATTTATCAAGAATCATTTCTTGCCTACACACTTTTCATGAATCGTGTACGTTTTTCTTTAAAACTGGAAAAAACCGCGCATAATATGCCGACAGATAAAATAAAAGTACTCCATTAATCATGACAATTTTTCCATACATTACAATCAAATAAAATATTTGATTGCAATTATAAAATGCTTGAACTAGGTGTCATGTCATGCCACGCATCTCGGACACGTGATGACGCGGGTGAATCCACGAAATTATTAGGTATACGTCTGTGGCTCTATATACCTAATATAGATTGCTTATATTATTATGTTTAGTTTTCCCCGAGTGGTCATGCAGCAATCACTCAAGAGTTCGGCTTCGAACGTGTGTAACTCGATAATTATCCCACGGCAACGAAATACCTGAATAAACGGTATCATATATGATATTTGGCAGCTCCGTGGCGCAGTGGCTTAGCAATGAATTGTTGTACTGGGAGCCGCGGGTTCGAATCAATCGAACAAGTATTTGTATGGTCTACAAATAATTGTTCCGGGTCTGGATGTTTGTAAACTGCCTCCACGATACATGAGAAAATCCTAGTGTGGGGTAACGTTTTTTTGAAAAAAAAAATTCCGGGCTATAGCCTATCTCTGAGCAAACTATCATCCAGATCCCTTCAGCCGTTCTGGCGTGATTGAGTAACATACATCCATTCATCCGTCCATCCAAATATCCAAACTTTCGCATTTATAATATTTAGATAATAATCGTAATTGGTCTGCCTACCTATAAATTGTTTTCAAAAATACTTACTTACCTGGCTTCTTATTTTTTTATATATACTCAATATCACTAAACGTAAACACAGGTTTTTATCAAGACAAGTGACCCATCAAGATTGTTTTCTTAGTACCAACGTACCTACCTAAAGTTTACAATTTTGTGGCCACGACGCGGCGAGGTTTTGTGACATTTTGTTGTATTGTTGATTGTAGGTATCTAGGTAATAACAGTAGGTACCTATGAAAATCCCACATAATATACTTTGTTTATCCGCCGCAAAAGTCGTCTAATAAATAATTAAACTGTTTTGTAATTCTTTATTTATTTATAACACTTGCATTGAGAGTTGTGGTAGCTCAGATGGTTAGCGCTCGCTGTAAGTATCACATTACGCGAGCAACCCGGGTTCGATCCCCGTCGGCACCAATGAAATTGTTGCAATTTTATATAGTAATCGAATATAGACTTTACTTTTTTTACTTTTATAATTATATTATATTACAGACGAAAATTTTAAAATATTGTCTGTCGTCCAAAACGCATCATCTCTTTCAATTATATCAATTTCCATGCCGTCTTTTGTCTTTGGCGTCCAAATTACAAAATAGCAAAACTTTTCGTTTCGAATAAAACTCGAATACTTATAAGCGCGCGTAACCGCCTGTGCATGTGTGTGTAAGCATCGTCCTCCCGCACCGCACCGGGGGAGACATTATTCAGTGAGATGCACGATAATTCATAGTAACATGCGCGCGTAAAAAAATACGAAAAGGCCTTTGGAAGAAGGGGTTTTATGAAAAAACCACTGCATTAATCAATTACAAATAAAATTTATTGAGTTCTTCGATAATTT